TTAAACAGTTGAGTTTTACCGTTTTCGAATCCGTTCAGCCGATCTCCGGGTCTGGCGGTAACACTTTTAGCTTAGCTTAGCATAGATCATTGAATATGATTAGACTGTTAGCATCTCGCTCAAAAATGACCAAAAGAGTTTAGATATTTTTTTACGCAGCGCCTGAAAATAGGCTAACTTCCATCAACATAACCAACATGACCACCGGCTTGCACAGGGAGCGTCAAAAACGGTAAAACTCAACTGTTTAACTCTAGGGGAGTTATTTTAAAAAATAGTGGAGTGTTCCTTTAAGTGCACAAAGCAAACACACAGTGAGATGTTCACAAACTCTCACACAGCATCCTGGAAATCTCGTTTATTTTGAGGTGCATGGTAGAACTTTACAGCAAAGCATGAGGAAAGCGTGAGTGGTTAATACTGTAGCATTTAAATAAAACGCTTCCTATAGTGTAAATTGTGCTTGTAGAGATCTCATCGGGATACTGCTAATATGCAAACTTGGGATCAGACTATATTTGTTATTTATTATCCTGATGATAATAACCACTAAATTATACTGGCAAATCATATATATATATATATATCTTTTTTTTGTAGAGATGTATACACTACTGTTCAAAAGTTTTGGGTCAGTAAGACTTTTCATTCTTTATTTATCCATTTATTTATTTATTTTTATAAATTAATGCATTAATAAAAATCCAGCTTTGCCATCATAAATTCTATTTAAAATACATTCAAATAGAAAACTATTTTAAATTGTAGTAATATTCAAATAATATTTTAATGTTTTCATTGTATTTTTGATCAAATAAATGCAACTTTGGTGAGTGTACATACATACATATAAATATATACATACATACATATATATTATATCTATATTAATAAACATTGATGTACTTTAATAAATCTACATAAATGTAACAATTATATAATCTATATTCTTACTACGTAATATATATATATATATATATATTATTATATTATATAAAAATAAAATAGTACATAAAATAGTAAATAGTATTAACTACAATAAAAGTAAATAAAAAAAGTAGATTACAGAAAAAAAATCAAATTTATATTTATATATAAATACATATATTGACGTTTTCCTGTTTGACTCGTATAGTGAGTGTTTGTGAGGGACACAGAGTATGTCCAGAATGATGAACGGTTACCTGGTTTTGGACTGGACTCAGTATTGTCTGTGTTAGCAGAGCTGATGCCCATCTCCCTCTGTTTGAACATTTCTCTGGGATTAACGGAGCGCTGGGAGACGAGAGCCGCGGCTTCCTGTTACAAATACACACAAACATTAAAGCAGCCATCACCGCATTAGGTATCACGACTGATAACCCTGACGGCAGTACAAGGAGTTTTCAGAATATAAGAGCCAGAGATACAAAGTAAGTGGTTACACTGAAAGAGGAAAAAACAGAGAACAGCAAAACAAAAAAGGCTGAATCTCAAATTGCATATCCAATCCTACTGTATGCATGCTGAAAATACTGACAAAAGTGCCTGGATAATGTAATGGATGTTAACATTGCATCATGCATGCTTCTGAGGCGAATACGGTTTTGGTATTTTGGTAACATTTTGGTACTACTACTACTACTTCATTCTTCACCATGAATCTTGATGAATCAGCATTCATGACTGGAACTATCAGGTTTATAAACTGGGATTCTGCCAGAGAGAGAGAAAAAAGGGATTTTGGTATAAAGATAAAACAGACACTGATTTGAGCCATGGTGGTTTACCAAGTAAGGCAAGTTGAGACAGACAGAGAAGAGGAAGAGAAAGAAAGATAATCTGAGTCAGCAGCGGAGGACACTGCCACACTGTAGAAAGAAAAGGTTAGAAGAAAGTTGGTAGCGTCCTGCTGTCCAGGGCCAAAAGAGATGTTTGATGCTTCCTCTCACTCACGTTGGCTTTTTCCACCGACTCTCCGCGTTTAAAGGGTTTCTGTGCTGCCTGCTTCCTCTCCTCCTCCTCCTGATGGACATCAGCACACTTTGACTCTCACACACTTTGTTTTATTACAAAACCTAGTTAGCTGCATTATAAGGTATCATATTTGTTTATGCTGTCTTCTTTCGGCCAAATTCTAGAGCAGAAGTGAAAGCTCAGAGAAAAATCCACCCAAGATGGCAGATGAGAGAAATGTTGAATATATAAATATACTTAAAACATTCGATCCAAAAAGGTACAGACGACAACAACAACAAACTAACTAAAATTAACTATTTCTCCCACCCACTTTTTCAGTGGCCCTGGTACTTTCAGTGGCCTAGCATTTTTTCCATTGGGATTTTTTTTTTAAAGTCTTCATTAAAGCACTAGAAGTCATGAACCAAGACAATCAGACAAAAAAAAAAAATCCCATGAATCATTGCAAAATGAAAACAAAGAAATATAAAACTACTGATTTAAAGATTTGTCAAGATTTTATTGTGAAACAACATTTTATGTTTATTGCAGGATACACATGGAACTACACTTTGGTATAAAGATAAAACAGACACTGATTTGAGCCATGGTGGTTTACCAAGTAAGGCAAGTTGAGACAGACAGAGAAGAGGAAGAGAAAGAAAGATAATCTGAGTCAGCAGCGGAGGACACTGCCACACTGTAGAAAGAAAAGGTTAGAAGAAAGTTGGAAGCGTCCTGCTGTCCAGGGCCAAAAGAGATGTTTGATGCTTCCTCTCACTCACGTTGGCTTTTTCCACCGACTCTCCGCGTTTAAAGGGTTTCTGTGCTGCCTGCTTCCTCTCCTCCTCCTCCTGATGGACATCAGCACACTTTGACTCTCACACACTTTGTTTTATTACAAAACCTAGTTAGCTGCATTATAAGGTATCATATTTGTTTATGCTGTCTTCTTTCGGCCAAATTCTAGAGCAGAAGTGAAAGCTCAGAGAAAAATCCACCCAAGATGGCAGATGAGAGAAATGTTGAATATATAAATATACTTAAAACATTCGATCCAAAAAGGTACAGACGACAACAACAAACTAACTAAAATTAACTATTTCTCCCACCCACTTTTTCAGTGGCCTAGCATTTTTTCCATTGGGATTTTTTTTAAAGTCTTCATTAAAGCACTAGAAGTCATGAACCAAGACAATCAGACAAAAAAAAAATCCCATGAATCATTGCAAAATGAAAACAAAGAAATATAAAACTACTGATTTAAAGATTTGTCAAGATTTTATTGTGAAACAACATTTTATGTTTATTGCAGGATACACATGGAACTACATAGTAGGTGAGATTTGCTTGTTTATATTCTCTAATTGGTGGAGGTTTATTCATTTATTTTTTGCAGAATCATGGGTGATCAGTCCCACCAGGTTTTTGCGGCCAAAAATGGACTGAATTTGTGGCGGTTTTGCAAATAGACATGCATTTTTTCCCCCTACTTTTTCTAAAGGGAAAAAAAGAACTTCTAACGAGCTAGTATTTTTATTTTTATTACAAACACACTAGAGAGTGTCAGAAACTGCTGTGTTTAGGTGGGTAACCCTGGAAATCGCTATATTACTGCTGTTACATAAGCGCCACCTACTGTCAGAAAGTGAATTTACATTTTCATTCAGTGTTTACTTCACTCATTCAGTTATGTTCCGTTCATCTATCTCTTCGTCCATTTTGGGGTTGTTTACAGAGTACGCGAGCTTATTTTACACAGCATACAGGCAGTACTGATAAAGCGAACCGGTTGATGGAAATTATGTCGTCACACGATGCATTTAAACCCAAAATCTGAATTTAGACAAATTGCAAGCTCCAACGAATATTGCGGAGTTTGCTTGATTTTGTGTTAAATAGCAAAATCCTGGAGGGACTGAGTAATGTCGTTTTTCACCATGAATTCCATGGATATACAGAATCAATTATTTAAAAAAGAAGTTGAAATAATGGATGCTAGTTTGCTTGATTTTGTGTTAAATAGCAAAATCCTGGAGGGACTGAGTAATGTAGTTTTTCACCATGAATTCCATGGATATACAGAATCAATTATTTAAAAAAGAAGTTGAAATAATGGATGCCGATGGCTTCAACGAAAGCAAATACAATCAATGAACAACCTCAGAGCTCACAGTAGGTCTCTCTTTAAAGGTTTATAAGTCAGCTTAAAAACCAGTTCCCTTAAGGAGAAAATGAAAGGGCTTTTGACTTCCGGAACTGACTGTTGCACTCTACATTATTTCGCTGTTAGTTCAGCAACATGCTAACACCAGAGTCGAGTCTCCAGTGCACTTCTCATGCGGAGTGTTACTTGTATGATGCACATGCATTGCTGCCTATGTTGATCGTTTCAACTTGTTCAATTATAAAGTATAATTTGAGTTAGAAGGCAGCTGCTTAAATACACAGTTCACAAGGTTCATCTCATAAATGAGGGCTGTGTATCAAAACCTGTTGAGATGCCAAGCCACAGAGCATGCTGTTAAGGTGGGCTGTAACCACAACCTCGGATTTAATCAGCTGTGGCCCTTGCAGATCAGGCCCCGAGACCCTTGTGAGCTGTATGTGTGTGGCAGTGTCCCCTGTGCATATGACCTAAATACAAAACCACAGATTGTCTCATTTATTTTACTTATTTGTGTCACAGGGCTGTGGAGAGTTTATTTTGGAAATTTGGTTTAAAGATTATCTGTGTGAAGATAGAAGTGTTAAGATGATAATTAAAAAAAAAGTGGGCTCAGACAACCACACTATGCTAGAAAAAGGGAAGTCTTTGTTGCCACTGTACACACATTAGCATTGGGCAATATGACATGTGATAGAAAACTGTGTCAAACGATTTAGATTTGCTACAGTGTTCATACCAATGTAGCTATATTTAAGAGAATACAAGTGCAGAATGATCTGCCATTAACATCTGAAAAAATGCTTTACAATTGATCAAACATTCTCTTCCTGTAATTCTGTGGATAAGTGGATGAGGTTTGATAAAAAAAAAAAACTATTTTATGAATTTACATTTTTATATTTATGCCAAGCTCAAAAACATATTAATGGGTAGAAATTGTGAATAAATATATATTTAAGTTCTTGTCTTTAATCCTTATTCAGAATCATAATCCATAAACCAGAAAGTCACAGGGCCTTCGAACATTGTTGTGGTTTATGGGGAATCAAGGAGTCAAAAGGTTGGAGAACTGCATTAAAATGCTTATTTTGTCTGAGGAAACTCCACAACATTTTGCAAGCAGAAACTTTGAAGCATGCTGTATGCTGTATTACCTCTGCTTGGGCCCAGAAATTGTCTTTGTTGGTTTTCTTGATTTCAGACATGGCATTAGTCTTCTGGTAAACAGATCCCTGTATGGAAAAACGATGGTAAATTACGACTAAGCCAAGACAGAATATTTAGACTTTGCATTTTCCGTGATGATTTTAGCGAAAAAGTTCTGCAGAGTCAATCAGAACATATTGAGATACAAAAAAAAGGGGAAAAAAGAGAGATGAGAGTATGACACTCATACAGCTAAAAGCGTAAGCAAATTAGCCAAAACATTTATTAAACACCCATGCAAGGGGGTGGGGGATCTCCCACAGCTTTCTCTGGAGTTATTCTGCGGGTGCAGATTCCATGTGGGCCTGATTATAGCTAAAACAAGACTTGAAAACAGTCAAGCATACCACTAAATAACAATACATCAAAATGACATTTATGCATTCACAATGTACTATAGACAAATGACTCAGCTGCATTTCACAGCACTCAACTGCAGTTTGTGGGTACATTTGGAGTTCAGCAGAGAAATTATTCCAAGCCAGCAAATCAGTTTCCACATTCCGAGCATTCTAGCTCATTCCCTGTGAAATTCCTGACACGGCATTCTGAAAGAGTGTTTGAGATAAACAAACTGCATGCTGGCACTGTCCCTGGCACCACTGTGCCATCATAAGACCTGTCTGATGCCTTCTGCTGCTGACCACTAACTAAACTTACCAAAGATTTAAAAAATAGCAGTTCTTTTTCACAAGCAGTGTAAAAACCAAACTAGATGATTACATCTTCTGAAGAAAATGTGCATGCATAAGACCACACACACAACTCATGAACTCCACAATAATGGGCCAACTTATGTTAATGATAACTATTTTGCACCAAAAACTGCTTTAATGAATGTATTGTTATATGATTATATCCTCTCTGACCCTTTATTAAATCCAGATTTAAACGGGCAGTGTTTCCTACTGTACCTTTAAGACTTTATGAAAATGACCTGTTATGATTAGCTAACCACTGTGTGCTAATAGGGTACATGAATGTAATACATTTTGTATTCAAATGCAATAAAAGTCCTCTTGTGCAAGATCAATGTTCCCTACCATTCGAAAGGTTGGATTTAATTTGTTTTGAGGATTTTTAAATGTTTTTGAAAGAAGTCAGTGCGCACCAAGACCTCATTTATTTGATAAAAAAATACAGTAAAAACAGTAATATTGTGAAATATTATTACAATGTATTTAATATTGTAAATGTAATTTATTCCTGTGATTTTCAGCATCATTACTCCAGTCTTCAGTGTCACATGATCCTTCAGAAATCATTCAAATATGCTGATCTGCTGCTCAAAAAAAACATTTCTTATTATCATCAATGTTAAAAACAGTTGAACTGCATTATATTTTTCTGGAAATAGAAATAGAAACAACAAAAATAAACTTATGAACAGTAGCGTATATATGTTCAAGGACTAAAAACGGCACTGGACACTGCTCTGGTGCATTATGGGCAAAGCGTGTGCGTGTGTGTACTGACCACAGGCCCCTGCGGCCCGGTGTCTTTGAAGCGACTGGACTCTTTGTGAAAGCTGTAGTTGGCTCCTGAGGCTTTGCCCACTTTCTGCATGATGGCTTCAGGCTCCACGTCCTCCTCCGCCCGTGCGTTTATGGTCACGTGAGCTCCCTGCAGAAACAGCGCTGTCAGTTTAGTCCCACACACAGACATGTTCTCAAAACTCACTTTAAACATGCGTACGAAACCATCAGACGGAAGCGTCAAGATTCACAGATTTCAAGCGAAACATGCCCACGCACACACTTCCATCAGTTAATTTATTAGCAACCTTTGGCTGTGTGTAAGCGCTTACTGATCACAAACACAGCTAGCTTAGACAGACAACAAAACATACAAACACCTTCTAATCAGAGGCGGCGGCCTCCACCCATTTCCCTATTTACACCAATTTGTGTGATGCAAGCAAATGATTGGCTCAAATAAACCGGAATCTTAACATCTTTTCTCTCTCATCGTCTCTTAATCAACAACTTCAAGCACTTTTATGTCCAAGGGGTTGATTTTTATCTAAATCAGGATGATATGGAAATCCAACCTATTTAATTTCTAAATGCATCTTATGCCAGATCTGCCTCCATCCAATCAAAAACCATTGGATAGAGTCCCTGCCCTACATATTGCTCTTTTTTGATAATCCATTTAAATGTACATCACAATATGGAAGAAAACATCTACTTCCGCTAGTTCGGTTACATCGCAATAGTGGTTCCAACTTTGGGGAGCCCCAACTAATGGTTGGGGTATGTTACAAAAATGCCACTAAAATGAAATACAAATGTCCCTAAAATTCAAGTTATAAGAGCAAAAAATGCCTCTTTATGAGTTCTTGTTTTTTTATATATAACATATCACACAAGCAAGAATTTCAAGAATATCAGCATGATAGCGGGTATCAATAGTCTATATTTATCATTCAAAAGGAGAAACCGAAGCAAGGATATATACGAAACAAACAAAGCAGCGCTTGCTTACCATTTTGATTATGAGTTATGTTGATAACTTTAATCATATTAAGCGGCTCATGTTGTTAGGAAAACATTAGTGTATTGGAGTGCTCAGGTAAGATTAACATTAGAACAGCCTTCTGTCTGTGCCGTCTTGATTTACTCGCTCGCTTTCTTCACGTTCGCTTTAATTCTTGCACACTGACTCGTTTGCTGAACTGAACATCCAATCAGAGTTCCCACTCTCACTGTCGGCCCGGCGCCGATTCAACATGCTGAATTGGGCAAATTGCCGCCGATGTGAGCCCGACGTGTGGAACACACCGAAAAAAACTAGCCCGTCAGACACTCGCCACAGCCGACTACACGGCCTTTAGACAAAATTCTGTCAATATTGTCTATATTTTGCCAAGAAAAATAGTTCCAAACAAAGCCACAGCAGAGCCGTTGCGGGTCTCTGAGAAGCATTCAGTGGCGTTCCATTACTAAATTAATCCATGTTTTTAAACCAGCTAGTTGAGTGAATTATTCAATGACCCATTCGGAAATACAGTCACTTGATTTGTTTCTGAATGAATCAGATGCTTGAATGAATCGGTTTAATGACTCATTCATTAAGTAGGGTGGCCATATGTGCCGTTCATATGGGACACGTCCTGGCCAGGATTTTTATATTGCCCAAAACATCCAAAGTAGTTTGACCAATAACGTGCAGGTGTTGTATATAATCGAGTCCAATCGTGGCGCGTGAGAAGGTGAGATCTACAGAGAACGATCCAATAGACGCAAATACGCGCACGTGTTTGTTCGTTCATTCGACTTGAAGCGTCCTTGCGCACCGATCATTGAATGACACCAAAGTACCACAACACCAAATTACCATGATTTGAAAGCATAAGGAGCCGTCTGCTCTGCTCTCTATAGGTCTCGTGAATGTCATACAATGATCGATGATCTGCACAGTGCAAACAGCCAAAACCTGGATATTTTAGGCAATATAGAAATCCTGGCAAGGACGAGTCCCATAAAATTTTTACATACATTTTTTTTCCCCCCATTATTTTATATTTCTATATTAAAATGTTCATATCTAAAGAAAACAATCTCATAAAATTACTTATGAAAATGTAACTGCAGTGTAAATGCCTCTGAGCTGCACTAAACAAGTGAAACAAGTGAGAAGTTGCATTCATTTCGTCAACTAAAAGTATGATGAAAAATGTTCGTTGACGAGCTTTTTTCCCCAAGACAAGATGATGACGAGACGACAATAAGGTCAATAAATGTTAACTGTGACTTTATCAACATGCAATATCATTGACAAAAAAATATGAGACTAAAATGTATTTAAAAAAAATAAAAACTATACCAAAATCTCTTTTTATTTTCGGCCAAAAAAAAAGAAGACAAAATATTATTGCGGACTGTTGTACACACCTCTACGCCTCTCTGTGGTTGCCAGATATCAATATTTCAAATCCGCAAATCAGAGCTTCTCTGTTAAAATGATACATTTCCTGCCCGGTGTTTTGCTTATTGCGCATGCTCTCGTTCTTCATTGCGAAAGCACCGACGATGATCTGAAAACAGCGATAATCAAGTAAGCTGGAGTTTAGTGATCTCCATGTGAGATGTTCGCTTAAATAAAAGTGTCATTCAGCCAGTTTGTGTCCATGAGATCTCGACTATTTTGTTTGTGATAGTGGTTGCTGAATAAATGCACTTACTCAACCGCTGTTGTTTTAATAGAGAAACATGGAATTACTAATAGGAATTTTACTGTTAAAATATTTTTTGCCTGTTCTCATAATGTAGACGGAGAGAGTTGTCTATATAAGTCTTTGATATTCATTTATATATTAGCCTATAATAAATCAGTACACTAGCTGAGATCAAATAAACCATGTGTATGAATCCACATTCTACTGATTTGTGCTTATTGGTGAAAGTGCAATATCTGGATTGTAAAAATAAATTTCTCAAATGACAATAATCTTTTCGATTATAATTTTGAGAAAAAAAAAAGATTAGTTTAATATTATACATCATGAAGAAAATGTGACAGTTTTCATTGACTAAAACGCTTAGACATTTAGTCGACAAACTTGACTAAACAAAAACAGGACAAGGCTGACTAAATATGAGAACTAAAAAGTACATTTGATACCAGGACTAAGACTAAACTAAAAACGGCTGACAAAATGAACACTTGACAGAAGTCTGTGCTTCTTCTGTTGCACCTTTGTAGTGCAAAGACAGATTTCAAACATACTGATTTCATTTGATTGATAACAGCCTATAGTGTATTATTCTAACTGAACTGATTGATTCACTTTAAAAGTTTAACATGAAAGATGCATACATTTATAAAAGTTTTAAAAATTCCATTATAAAAGGTAAAAAAAGCTCCTAGAAATCAATTTAATTGAGTTAATATCACCCCTTAATGGGAAAGTGAATTTCTGCTTTAAATTTGGACCAGCTGTAATTCATTTGTAGACACAGTAAGAGCTTGTGGTCGGATGTTGTAACGCTCTGCATAACTACCAACAAAGCCAAACCAAACATGTCTGGATATAGCCCATGATGTCATATCCTGTTGTGAGAGGCTAGCCTGCACAACGCAGCATTGTGAGTCATAGTCAAAGTTCACAGACCGTTAACTCAATCACACAACCATACACATTATTCACAATACTCACACACTGAAAGAACGACAAAATAGCCCAGGTACCTTAAGAAAGTTAGCGATGGAGCTCACATGATTTGCACACTGGCCTTTTCTGGCATCTTTAACACCCTCACCGGTCTGAAAAAAAAAAAAAGTAAATTTACATGACAGTAATGGCATATACTGTAAAACAACAGTTATTTTTGCTGGAAATTTAACAAATAAAAATAGTTTATATATCGAATAACCAAGTGGTAATGCTTATTTTAAGATAATCCAGTGAATAAATAAAATATGCCATCATGTGGTCCAAAATGCTGATTTTTTTTGCATAGGAGCTAAACGGATTCATAAATACATTTAACAGAGGTACTTTACTGCAGCAATAGAGTCAGTAAATCCCCAGGGCATCTTTGCGGCGATATCCAGTCAAGAAACAAAATCAATGTGAAGAGCTACAGGAAGTTCAAAACTCACCCAGTTGATGTGGACATATTTGGGAAGGCCAGAGTTGGGGTCTTTAACGCGGCAGAAAGCGTACATCACCTTCCCGCTGTTCAGCTCCTCGACCAGCTCCTCCAGACCACCATCTGAAATCACACACAACACACACTCACGCCACAAATCATGCTGTCCTCCTGCAATCAGTAATGAACTCGAGTTTTGGTGTAAAACCTTTAAAACATATTTTTCATCTGAAAGTGAAGGTTTATGCAAGTAAAAAAATAATTATATATATATATATATATATGTGAAAAATTTAAGGGGGTCTGAATACTTTCCGTACCCACTGTATATATATATATATGTATATATATATATATATTGTTTGAAAACATTCCAGAATAATGATGTTGTTTTAAGTTGTTTTGTTAGAAAATGAATGTATAAATTTGTACTGTTAAGCTCAAACTTCAACGTTTATACTAGTAATTCGTAGTAGATATTCTTATAACATTAATATAATGTTATATTTTAATAACATTTCTCATGAATATTAAAAAAAGTGTTTTCTTCCATCAATGCTTTTCCTCTAAAATTTGAAATCAAGATTTTCACAAGAATTGAGTTCAGTAATTGAGGTAAATGTAGTATTAACATGGTAATAATATAGCAACATTCAAAACTGTGTCCTTTTTGTTGTTGAAAAATATTCTAATATATATATTTTAGAGGCTTATGTTCCACCGGGTCCAAATAGGCATGGAAATGCAAAAATCATTCGCAAATTTGACAAGCATTATGAAAACAGTAAAAAAAAAACAAAAAAAAACAGGGTTATTTAAATATTAACTGAACATTCTCAGGCAGTACTTCAAATAAATATTTCATATCAAATGGCTTAAACAATTTGGAAATCCCAATATATAATTTAACAGTATATTAGATGCATGTGTGTATATATATATATATATATATATATATATATATAAACTCATTCACAAAGATCTTCTAATTTTTATTGTTCACTGGAGTTCAATGCAGAGGCTGTGCATTAGTGATTTTAGCATATAACACCTTTTTTTTTTTTTTCACGGTTAAAATCCATGTTTATTCACAGTTGGCCAACTCTATTTTCTTCACACATGTAGGAAGAACTTTGGACAAATCTTTAGATGAATCTTGGCCTGTCCTTGACAGTCTACTGGTTCAGCGCACCCCTCATGCGATCAATACAAAGAACACACTGAACTGCAAAACAATGGCTGCAGGCTGAAGATGGACGTACGCTGACACTGTTTGCGTTAAACACCGTCTATATACCACATGGTACTAGCGTGAATGACTATTTCACTAAATGAGTCTGCACATGATCCAGAGCAGAAGAAAACCCACCTCCTTTCTCTGCAAGCCTGATGTCATTGGTGTTCCCCTCATAGGTGAAGAGAGCCCTGCAGAGACAGCAAATGTGTGAAGGCAGTTCATTACATAAGTGTTAACCAGCCACGTCACTGAGATCGAGTGCAACATGGCTCAGTCGTTCCAATTAAAGTCTATAGGAAACACTGTTCAAAAGCAATGTTATTTCCACAATCTGATGCATTTTTAAGTAAATCTGGATTTTCAATTAGAAATATCATAGGGTGAGACTTTTTATCCATCAGGAACTGATTGGATCTGTGACGTTAGCCAGAAAGGAAAGTAATTTTCTAAGGTGGAGCAAGTTATTACATTATGACACATACAGTGCATATGAATTCATAGATTTGACAGATGCTTTTATCCAAAGTGACTTCCATTGCATTGAAAATATACTTTTATACTGGAAATCAAACCCATGAGCTTTGTGTCCTAAATCAGACTTCCATCTTATCTGTTTGGTAACTATTGTGATTTTAGTTTGTATCTCGGTTCCAATATCGCACTTCTCAATTCTTAAAGGGATGGTTCACAAAAAAAATCTATATTCTGCCATTATTATTTGCCTTCATGTCTTTCCACACCTGTATGAGTTTCTTTCTTCTGCAGAACATAAACGATATTTTGAAAAAATGTTGGTAATCGCAAATATTACTACTGAATGGATGGACAAAAAAAAAAAATTATAATAAAACATTGAGAGATTTCTCAAAATATATTGTCTTTATGATCCACAGAAGAAAGAAACTCATACAGGTTTGGAACAACATGAAGACGAGTATGTTAACTTTTTTTTTTTTGGATGAACTATCCATTTAACTTAAGACCTAAAAAGAATAATTCTGCAATTTTGTAAAATTTTGTAATTTTTGTAAAGTTGACCCCATTTACCAGGAAAGTAAGTGTAATGCAAGTAAAAATGAACCCATAAATACATTACAGGTTTGGAACAACATGAAGACGAGTATGTTAACTTTTTTTTTTTGGATGAACTATCCATTTAACTTAAGACCTAAAAAGAATAATTCTGCAATTTTGTAAAATTTTGTAATTTTTGTAAAGTTGACCCCATTTACCAGGAAAGTAAGTGTAATGCAAGTAAAAATGAACCCATAAATACATGTTACTTGAAAAAGATAAAATATAAATATATTTTATTTTAGCTAGTTGCCAAAGCAACATTTCTCATTTTTGTTTATTTTATATTGCTCTCAAATAACTAAAACTAAAAATTCATTTAAAAAAAACTATTTAAAAAAATCCCTTAATTAATAAAAACTATACAGACATTAAAAACAAAAAGGACAAAAACAACCAAATTAAAATAAAACTGAAAATATAAAATTAAAACTAATTTAAAATATGAATATAATAGCATTTCAATGATAAATACTCAGTTGTTGACTGATGTCAGCAGAATGCAAACTGAAAAGCATCAGGGCAAAAACACCTCTGAAATGTCTGTAATATGAAGAAGATATTGAGGTGGCCCTGTGTGTGTGTGTGTTCTGATTCGCTCTACACAAAGACACTTGTACAGCAAGGAAGCTGTGTCAACTTCCTCTCTGAAACACAGAGCCCAAGTCAACAGAAGACTCTTGCCTGTCAGAAACAGGAAGCGCTGTAATGAGGAATAAGAACGGCAGCCGTTTTATTTCTAGAAGTTCTCTCAGGTCTGATCATCCTGTGACATTCACGCTCTGTTGCGGTTTGATGTGGAAATGAAAGTCACAATTGTTAAGACAAAGCTGCTTCTTTAATAGGCAATGTTAGGTTGAGCCTGTTCCTTCCGGAGATCTATGATGACTCATCAAAATCGCTGATTTTGTGACATTTTGTCTGTCAAATTCTGTCAGGAAAATTCCTTCGACAGCAGCAGCAGCCCATCATAAACTCCTCCATCGGTGTACAAACCACTCTCAAGTAGTGCTTGACCGGGCTTTTTAAAGGCTAATACCAATTTCATACAGACCAGGGAGAACCAACGATGAGGTTCAATAATCCAGCTGTGAGTCCAATTATTGAACTGTTCTTTCATTTATTTTTTTATAAAACGCCTTATTTATAGACTTGCATGGGTCCGAAATGTAGAGTTTAAAATCCCAACTGTAGATATCTTAATAAAACTGAATGACAGAAAATTGTTACAAACAATGCTTACTCAATTTTCTTAAATAATAATAAAAAATAAAAATTAATGCATGTGCACGTTGGCACAATATGCGTCAATCTAAAAATGGCCAAATTTGAGTCAATTAATTGGCCTGGTCCATGTTTAAGGGGCCAAAAAAACAGCATAAATCTAAAGTGACAAAAAAAGACAATTAAATGAGAATATACAACAATATCTACTGTTAGTTATCAGTGAGATTTTTAAATGTTTTTGAATGAAGTCTCTTATTCTCACCAAGGCTGCGTTTATTTGATTTGTTTAGAAATGCAGTAAAAATAGTAATATTGTCATATTTTTATATTGTGAAATATTATTATAACTTAAAAGAACTATTTTCGATTGTAATATATTGTAAAATGTAATGTATTCCTGTGATCAAATCTGTATTTTCAGCATCATTACTGCAGTCTTCAATGTCACGTGATCCTCCAGAAATCATTCTAATGTTCTGTTCAAGAAACATTTCTTACTGTTATCATTAAAACTTATTCTTGTTAACTTATTTTGTTGAAAACTGCTTAATAATTTTTTGGGAAACCATGATACTTTTTTTCAGGATTCTTTTTTATTTAAAGCAGAATAAAATAAAAGTAAAATAATAATAAATTAGAAGTATTAAAAGTATCTAGAGTACAAGAAATAAAAGTAATTCCTTAAAATAAAAATAAAAAAGCCTGACCACAAGCTTTTGAACAGTAATGTACATGTTATTTGTACCCATTTGCGAAACTTGAGTGTCTGTATTTGTGTGATTTTTCTCAAATCTCTGGGTAGGATGCCGAGTGTAATTAATGTAGGTCATTTATAATCACTCTTCATTTCTGAAGCGTTCATGACTCAACTCAAACAGCCGTCTCTCAAGAGCGTCCGACCGATCTCGTCCTCATTTCCACTTCTTCAACCTGAAACTCATTTACACTTCAAGGTGCAGAGCTACAGGACTTTGGTCTGGTGTCAACCTGTCAAACATTAATATCATTTCCGTATGAGCAAGAGGAAGTCTCTTACTGATGTCAATTCATTGGCTTTGACACTCATACACTTGCGGTAACATTCTGGCTACAAAGAGCAATTATTTTTGATTACAAGACAATGAGATTGCATGTAAATGCACTCACAAATAGTAGGCAGGGAGTTGTCAACCCAGCAGCCATATATGGACAAAAACTACAGGAAAAAAGGAGGTAGGAGTGGTTCAATATATACGGACAAAAACTACAGGAAAAAAATTAGGTAGGAGTGGTTCAACATATACGGACAAAAACTACAGGAAAATAAATAGGTAGGAGTGGTTCAACATACGGACAAAAACTACAGGAAAATAAGGAGGTAGGAGTGGTTCAACATATACGGACAAAAGCTACAGGAAAATAAGGAGGTAGGAGTGGTTCAACATATACGGACAAAAGCTCCAGGAAAATAAGGAGGTAGGAGTGGTTCAACATATACGGACAAAAGTACCAGGAAAAAAGGAGGTAGGAGTGGTTCAACATATACGGACAAAAGCTACAGGAAAATAAGGAGGTAGGAGTGGTTCAACACGAGTACACTTCTCAAACCCCATGTTCTCCAAAAGTTGGGATGCTTCTGAACTGATCAGATCAACTCATCCGTGCAAGCATGCAAAGCAACACTGCAATGAGGTCAAAGCATGTGCATAATTGAATATAAACTTTCATCGCTGGCCAGAGAGCAACAGTGCATTACTGGGAGGAAATCTTTTCTGGAAGATTCAGTGTGTTTGTGCATGAGCTGTGAATGGATGAGTGCACACGGATAAAGTGCAGTGATCTCGCCAACATCACAAACCGTCACTGCATTGATCCTAAAGGACATTAATGATGATCTATGTTGTGATAACCACAAGTAGGGCGTTTAAAATGCCAAAGGAGCCGCTAACATGCTAAACATGAGGATGTCAGTGAGTGTAACAGAGAGACAACCCTTGAGTCGCTACTCACCAGTTAGTCTCTGACTTCTCATCCACCACCTCGTTATAGGCCGCGGTAAGAGCTGGGCCGTTTTTGCTCAGGTTCACAGCCATGATGGGCAAATCTGTGGGTTTCTGACCGTCCGACGCCGGGGACAGACGCTGCAGTGGACTCCGGGGGTAGATGGGGATCTCTCGGCGGCGCTACGCAGACAGGAAGCGCGCAGCGCCACATCACGTAGCACTCACTCCTCCCTGGAGCGACATTTCGAAGCCTACTATGGTGACGGCGTGGCTCATGAATATTAATTACGCAAAGCGAGGTTCGCCCAGTAAGCCTCCCTGATTCGCTGCAGGGCTGACGCAAGTATGTGGGCGGATGTCAGCTGGCGAATGATGACTCGGCTCATGAATATTAATGAGGACATGAGACTTCTGAAGGTTACCAAGCAACTCTCTGGCATAGTAGAGTTTTATAAACCACGCGGCAGCGCCACCTGCTGGACAGGCATGGAGCAGCACATGGGCGTGGTTACTACATCCACCTTTCTAAATAATATATATATATATTTTTAACAAATCTACAGATTCAATGAAATGAGACTGAATGTCTATAGTAGCATCCTAAACCGTGAAATAACAATTTAAACAACGTTACAGCTCAAAATAATATAGGTTTTAACCAAATAAATCGTTTTATAAATTGAACAACCTTTATTTCTTTATTATAAGGGATGGTCAAAATTAGAAATATACACATTTACAAGATATCATTTTAAAAAAAAATGCAGCAGCACAACCATTTGTTAACATTATCAGTGTTGAAATGTCTTAATTTTTTACATTGAACACAATTTTAAATGTCTTTTTGTTACATATATGTTTTTTTCCATTTTTTTTCTTGGGGTAAAATATGACCCCAAATATGATCATTTTTTTCTTTTTGTGAGATTCATCCAATACACTATAAAATGTCATTATTGTCTGAATTCTGTCAGACAGTGCAGTTAACCATAACATTTTGAAAGTCTGTGGTGTTGCAATAAATCCAAGAGAAGGTATTAAACAAAAGGAGCTTTATTCACTAAAGTTGACACCTTGGAGGTTAGTCTCAGCTGTACTGAGTCTGAGGAGAGAGCTGGTTAGATGACAGGGTTTTCTAGCACAAACGGTTAGCAAGGAGAGGTCATTATGGCTCTGTGTACGTGTATATGCGATACACAAAGTAGTACAGTACCCATCAACAGTTAAAACAAAGTAAATGGTACAGTACAGTTGCTTATACATTGATGGTTAAGGCTAAGGTTTTATTGAGGGTCTTGGGGGAGGTGAGAGAATGGAAAAAAGATCCCTGATATCTTGCAAATAGCTGCGGGAAAAGGTTTGTAGACTACCAGAGTGCAAAGCATGATATACACATGCCTTAGCACAATCTCAAAAAGGGTTGCAACTCGACCGGCTGCTTCAGACGAAGCATCAGAGAGAAGCAACTCGCAATTCCAGGCTAACTGCATTTGAGCTGATGACTGGAAGACGACAAATAAATAGAAAATAAATAAATAACTTAAACGTAACATTCTACTTCCAGACGCACAACCAGTGAGCCACGTTTAGTAGTGAAAATTTTACTGATGCAAAGACGATACCATTGGTCTTTGAATCAAAGTTAGGAGAAGTTGGCATACAATTTTACATTCACTTCAATTAAAAAGAAAAAATCAATCTATCATTATTTACACACCATCATGTTTTCCAAATCCAACTGATGACCTTTTTCTGTAAAACACAAAAGGAGAAATTTAGAAGTTTGTTCATGCTGCTCTTTTCCACGCAATTAAAGTGAATGGTGACCACAGCGGTCAAGCAACAATTGCAAAGATTTCCAATAAACATCTACTAAGATTTCAGTTTGGAACAAATGGCAAACTTTTGATTTGGAGCTTGAAAGTTCATGGTCCCCATCTGCTTTCATTGTATGAAAACAGCAGCGTGAACATACTTCAAAATATCTCTTTTGGTGTTTCACAGAGGAAAGTCATCAATTCTGTTTGGAAACGTGAGTAAATGATTGCAGAATTCACATTTTGTTGTAAACTATCCCTTAGCTATACTGCCGTTTCAAAAAGTTTGGATCATCCAAAGCTTTACTGGACACAAATGTCAATTCTCTTGGTGACAGAACACATATATGGTGCTTAATATAATTCTGGCAATATTTAGCCCTATTTAGACGAGTGAAGAAACAATTTTTTTTCATTCTGCTCTGTGTAAACATCTTGATCATCCACCTCTAAATAGGCAGCCATGAGTTAATGAGTGCGTTTACAAAAATCAATTTTCAGTAAAAGTACTTGAGTCCAGCAGGTCATACATCAAACGTACCATCAACTGTCAAAAGTTAGTAATATTAGTGACTACAGGAACAAGAGTATCTAAAGATTATTAAGATTACACTTTTGCAGACAGATTTGTAGAAGAGATAAATGCTAAGTAGCCAAAAAAATATTGCATTCATACGCTATGACGTGCCCATTGCCTGCAAATCTGAAAGGGGCATAGTCACATTTGGCAGAAATGGTGGCATTTCTTTTTTTTCTTCCCCACACAGTCCCACCGTTCAGCTTTTTTGCTCCCTCTTTTTTTCTGCAAACAAATTGGGTGAATTTTTAAGACAAGTATAAAAACCTGCCTTGATTCCTAAAGCAACTTCACAATACTTATCAAAACAAATACTTACACATCTGCCATATCATGCACATGCAGCTGAGGTGAATTAAATTTAGTGGCCGTTCGTGCAAGACACGTTTTTGCATTAAAAACAGGTTGACGGAGCTTGTCCATATGTACAGTAAATACGGTTAACGTGCCCCCAGATTCATCTGATTGGTCCATTCTTTTCAAATCGACACCATTCTAACTGCACATCAAACGATGAACGTTTACATAGAGCAACATTGAAAATACAGCGCAAATGGAAAGCAAGAACATGCCCTGTGTGAACGGCCAGCTTAATTCTGAAATCGACCGACGCTCAAGGTTAAATAAACAATGTCAAAAGGAGATAGGATTATAACTAAATAAAAAAATATTTATGTCTAATAATTAAAAATAACAGTGTCCTAATGAGACGCAATGCAACACGCCACGAGAAAAGGGTTTGTTTAACATTTTGCTTTTGTCCTAATCAACAGCGATGGCGGTAAGCGACGAGTGATTCTATTTTTCAAAAACTTAATTTTAAAATCATTTTTCAAATTTTTTTTTTCAATTCATGCTACCTTGCGGCTGACAACGATTAGACTTATCTCCGGTATGTACAATATTAAAAGTTACATTTGCGTTATGAACGTCATTTTTGTATGAATTTAACGCCATAATGAAAGCTACAATGGATAATGTACCTCAGATCTTGAAAACACCTTGAAATAAACAAGATCAAACTGTGAACTCTGTGAACAAACAAGTGCATTTCACAACAAAATGACAAAATTGTATCAATCACTGAGTATATATTTTAGTTAAATTTGATGAAATTACATATCCGTTTCACAGCGAGTGAGCAGTAAGCTTTCAGAGAGCTCCGCCCACACTCTTCTGATTGGCTGTGAGTTGTGATTGATTTTGTTGCATCTTGTGCCTTGTCGCGCCTTTTGTGGACAGACAAATTCGCCCCATACCCTTAAAAGGTCACTATTGGAGGAAACTGCCATTTGTAGTGGTGACTGAAACCGAAGTGGACATTATCGAGTGCACTCATTCAATGCATCTCGATATCTAGTGTACAACCAATGTACACTCAACTAAAAACATGTGAGGGTCGAGCCAAATTAATTCCTGCAGCTCTTCTGATGTACTCAGAGTCCAGGTTCACACACTTGTTTTCATTCACTCCTGTAAGTGGACTATATTAGTGAAGTAACGTAGGGAACAGTGAATGAGGGTATATGGAATCTCTTTGCATCGCGTCTGGTTAGGACCTGGTGTTAGGTTTCTTTTTATAGCACAAAGATATAGACTCACTTGACTATTGATGACCTCCATTTGTTCAAAAATCAAATCGCATTATCTCATTAGGACACAACCTCTTCCTAATCACATTCATAGTGTTTTATGGGATAACACTGAAACGGCAGGAAGTTGGAGACTACAGTAAGGTCTTTCTGACATCCGATTTTTTACATTCTACCACAAACCGTTAAACATGCCAAGTGCATGAGTGCACACACAACTATGGTTTCCACAGGGACTCCAACGGGACGGTGCGATGGTTCAGACACAATCAATCCTGTATCGCCGCAATTCCAACTTCAGCCCGACGTTTCCTCGTTCAGTGATGACAAGAGTGAGAATGCAACACTGAGAAAATCACAATGACAGTAATAACAGAACTAACAGAAGTACAAGTCTAACTTCCTGGGTTGTGGTTCCCCGAGGTTTGTCCGGTTTTACAGTTTTCCTGGAGTTTTCCAGGCTAAGCCGTTGTGGCGGCGGATCTGGGAGAACGGCACATGACAGCAGATTCAGCACATAGCGTCCAACATGTACCAGCGGCTCTCACCTCCTCACCTCCGCCTTCCCTTCCAAGGGTCCCTCCCCTCAACATCCACTTCTTTTGACTCCTCTTGTTCAAAGTAAAAACACGCTTCTCTGTCCGTTTGATTGTGTAGTGTTTTAGTCGCAGGCACTCTCACATGGCGTACTTTTGCGTCCATTCTCTCGCTAGTCTGTTGTACCTACGAGCAAAAAAGGATAAACTCTTACAATGTAATTCAAGTCACATTTCTGTTTTATTTAAAGGTGGGGTATGTATTTTTTCGGGCTGAGTACCAAAACAAACTTGTAGCCAATCAGCAATAAGGGGCGTGTCTACTCATGATGTGGAGGAGAGAGCGCTCAGTGTACAGGACGGACATTAGCCGAGTCCAGCGACAGAAAGATAGAGATGGCGGATAAAAAACAAAAGAGGAAAACGTCTGCGGAAAAAAAGAAGGCTTACGTGTCTACACCGGATGTGAGAGTTGTCGCGCCGCGCCGCAACAGCTAAAGTCAGTCTACACTGGACGCGATAAAGCTACCGTTGAAAATCATTTGAAATTTGTGCCAATACACCATAAATAGAACGCAGCAGCAGTTTTCTGTCGGGGATTTATCGTGTCGTGCCGCGCCACATCCAGTGTAGACCATAGATATGTATATATATATCTATGGTGTAGACAGCATCACTGATTATAATGAATTCTATAGTATTTTGTCACGCGTCTGGTGTAGACACGGTGTAACATTGGTTTTGCTTATCGTTGCCTGGGTTGCATACGTATGTTTGGGGCGGAGCTATCAAAATAGGGGCGAGACCCATTTGGGGTAGAGGCGTGTTTGTTTTGGTGATTTGAAATATCAACATTGGCTACCAGAAATCACTTACCCCACCTTTAACAGTGAGCAAGAATGCTTTACATAAAGTGGATATAATGTGACACTGTTTATTGGTTCAATCACAAAGGACTGAACCGTCTAAAACAGTGCGCGGCTTGAGCAGCACAGATCTACAAGTTATTGAGTAACTTGTAGATCTGTGCTGCTCAAGACGCAAACTGTTTTAAACTGAAAACTTACTTTCGGACGCCTGACAGTCACTCAGACTCGAAATGAGCCAAAATACCGGTATATGATCCTATGTTGCTGGTTTTTGCCAACTCATTCAGCGCTCCACTTCCTCCAACAGTCACTGAACTGAGGAAACCGTTCGACTCGGACTGGTATGCACATGAATCAAGAGGCTAAATGAAAGTTTTTATGGTTTCTCATGGTTTATTTAAAAAGGTGAGTTTATTAAGGCTAGTTTATTCACTTTACGCTTTGTATTCATGTTTCACATCATTATTGGGTGATTTAATAATATAATTGCTTATACGTTACGCCATTAAGTGATTACGTAAATAAACCAGAAACAAACTAAAAGAACTAGTTTGCGTAAATGAATCGGATTTCCCCGCTTGTCTGAGGCTCTGGATCACAGTTAATAACGTTGTAAATAATGAACCGTTTTCTTGCACCGACCGATCGTTTCACTTCATAAGACCTCAATATATCGTCAGGAGCCGCAGGTATCAATTCTAAATTGCCTAGTAGCTTTTTTGACTCTTGATGTGATGGCAACTGTTGACTTTCATTTTTGTGGAATTTTTTTCAGGATTCTATGATGAATGGAAAGTTCAAAAGAACAGGCTTTACTTGAAATAGAAATCTTCCGTAACAGTATGCATGTCTTTACTGTCCTTTGTGATCTATTTAATGCATCCTTGCTGAATAAAAGTATTAATTTCATAAAACAAAAAACCTTAATAACCCCACACTTATAAATGAAAGAAAGAAAAAAGCACCTACATCTTGGATGGCCTAAGGGTGAGTAAAATTAACAGCACATTATCGTTTTTAGCTAAACTATCCCTTTAACTATGCTTTTAGCCAACACACCTGTCTGGAACATTCATCCGCCCCTAAACATGACGCTGAAGAAAGCAAACTGTTATTGGTCACTTTACTGTAGAGTCAGACGTCTTCCTTTTACAAAAGTGAGCAGTCCATGGCCAGTCAAAGCGGCTACAGACCAAACGGCATCAGTCAAAAATCTGACTACACGAGACTAACACGTCCCAATCAAGCCAAGACAAGGAAGAGCTTTTTATTAATGGGTGTAATATGGAGAGAAGGTCAATGTCGCAACTAACCTGGCAGATTAATACAGATTTTAACAGTCTCACGTGTGCATGTATTGGCACTTTTACAACAGCTCTGAATGTGGCTCATCCAATCAGAGTGGACAATCTGCAGTATAACAGTTGTACTGTTCCGAGTCTTTTGTTCTGTTACATAAAGCTGTTTTTGTACACTCGCCCATCAAATAAAAGCAGAAACACATCACAAGCAATGAAGTACTTTTCATTTGTATTCGATTCATTGGATTTTCCAAAAATAGGCATTTGATCAAAAGAAGAAAAATTAACACATGAACAATTTTTTAAAAAGCCATTCAAATATGCACGTAATTGTCACTCACTTTTCTCTGTCTGCTTTATATGTATGTGCGATCTCAGGTACCAGCGGGTCATCTGGGTTCGGGTCACATAACAGGGAGCAGATGGACAGCAAGACTAAAAAAAAAAAGAAAGGAAACACATTAAAAAGATATAATACCAAAACCTCCTGATCGTCTATACTGCTGGAATGAGGAGCTGCCTTGTGTTAGTTTGTCATATAACACAAACAGCTTCCCGTGGAGTGATCCAAACTAGGTCATTGCTTAGAACAAAGAGTAATCACTGCAGTCTGACAACACAATAAGCCACACTGGGCTCAGCGCTCTGCTATTAGCCAGAGACGCCAAAACAAACAGTCAAACAGTGTCTGTCCAACAAGTGTTCAAGCCACATGAGAACATCATAATACCTAAATTATAACAATCATCTGTCGGTTTTCCTGAACAGGAGAACATGTACTGTAGGTTCTACTGGCCGATGCAATGGTGACTTTTAACCTGTACATCAACGGCATGTTATGATTTGGTAATAGAATTAAGCAATGTTTAAAGTCAAAATATTTAACAATCCACACAATAACATTTTATTAGAAAAAAAAAAAAAAGTGTCACATTATTAAGAACAATACATTTTGCTGTAGTAGTGTATTCATTCTAAACATAAATGCACTGACATGTGATTATGCAAATTAAAATGTATTAATAGAAGAATCTCAATACCTGCATTTCTTAGATATATTTGGTAACCCTAAACGTTTGCTTAATTTGTTAACAGTTAATTCACTAGGTATTGTAAACTAACAATGGAAAAATACTTTTACATTAATTATTAATCTTGATCAATTTCTAAATACACTGATTCATTTGTAACATTTCAAGTTGTCAAAGTATGTAAATTAGTATGATTATTGATGAACAAATATGAATGAACTATAATCTAATATTTTCAAATTAACATGAACCTAGATTCATAAAAATCCATTTATTTAATTTATGGTTAAATCAGGCTACATGAGCATACATTGAGTCCTGCACATACTGCATTTCGCAGCTCTCCAATTAACAATTGATCGATTAATAAATAATTACAGAAATTCCTGAAAATAAGCATTCCTACAATCAATACAACTTCATACCTGCAATGTGAATACATCATAAGTACCATTCAAGAGTTTATGTTTTCACTTATGCAAGACAGCAATATTGTGAAATATTATTACAATTCAAAAGAACTGTTTTATATTTGATTATATTTTAAAATATAGTTTATTTCTGTGATGGAAAAGTTGAATTTTCAGCAACATTACTCCAGTGTTCAGTCAGTGTCACTTCAGAAATCATTCTAATATGATGATTTGATGCTCAAGAACCATTTCTGATTATTATCAGTGTGGAAAACCGTTGCGCTGCTTAATATTTTTGTGGAAACCATAATACATTTTTTTTCAGGATTTCTTTGATTAATAGAAGATTAAAAAGAACGGCATTTAATTGAAATAGAAATATTTTGTAACATTTTAATGTCTTTACTGTCATTTGTGATCAATTTAATGTATCCTTGATGAATAAAGGCATTCATTTCTTAAAAACAAAAACAAAATTTTTTTTTACATTTTATTTTCAAAGTGCTTGCATCATGCATTGAGATGCTGCCTGAATCTTACCTTTGGATACAGTAAGTGCAGGTGACCATTGAGATCGCAAGATGTCCAGACAAATACTGCCGTTACTGTTAATATTGGGGTGGTAGATTTTTGTTGTGAATGCGACCTGTCAATCAATGCAAAGTGTACTGATTACAGAATCACAAACCATTACGTACATTTGCATTTGACTAAAGTCTCCTAACACAATGAATATCACAGAGCAGCTTACCTTTGGTGGTTTAAAGGGGTAGTCTGTTGGGAAATGAATCGTAAGGAAGAAAACCCCTCCTTGATATGGACTGTCATTCTAAAAACCAAGAACACCGCTTTGCTAATATATGCATGTACTGCAATCATCACAAAACAGGCAATATTTTATTTATATGTATGACAAGGACAAATTAATTCAAAAATGTAACATTCTGTTAGTTTAAATGACTTTTTTTTTGTACAATGTATACAAACATTCACAGTGCAAATCTTCTGAACTGCGCTTGGACGTGAAGATCAGCCAATCAGAACAAAGGCTATTTACATATAGCAGTGTTAAAGGTACAGTAACCTGATTATTTCACTAAACTTTAACTGGTTCTGGTACATGCAAACTTTCATTAACATTGCAAGTGGACTTCTAGAAGAAAATAAAATGCTATAAAGGTGCTAAATGTCCCTTTTAAATAATTTTAAAACTTTTCTTAAAGGGATAGTTCACCCCAAAATGAAAATTAGCCCATGATTTACTCACCCTCAAGCCATCCTAGGTGTACATTAGTGTTAATTTTGTCAGCTATTTTCATTTTAGTCTTAGTCTCGGGCTAAAATGTCCTTGTTAGTTTTTATCATATTTAGTCAACCTTATCCTATTTAGTTTTAGTCGACTAAAAGTCTCAACATTTTAGTCTAGTTTTAGTCCAAGAAAACCTGAAGTATTTTAGTCTAGTTTTAGTCAATGAAAACTTGACATTTTAGCAATAAGATTATTATTAATTAACCGTACAGCAGTATTCATTTTGGCAGCCATTTTTAATTTAGTCTTAGTCTTACTCAAATGTACATTTTAGTTATCATATTTAGACAAACTTGTCCTGTTTTTCTTTATTCAATGAAATATATGGGCATTTTAGTCAGGTTTTTTAGTCAATTAAATATTAGCCACATGTTCGTCATTATGTATAATGGTTAAACTGATAAAAACAAAAAAACTAATTCCATAATTGCAATAGTCTATTTCTCTATTAAAACAACAGCGGTTCAGTAAGTGTATTTATTCAGCTATCACAATCGCAAACAATATATTCAAGATCTTATGACAGAACACAGACGCATTCATTTAGATCGCTAAACTCCAGCTTGTTTGTTTTTCAGATCAGCGGCGGCGGCGCTTCCACAATTAGGAGCGAGTGTGTGCGCATGGTTGCCAGATTGCTTAAAATAAGCAAAACACACCAGGCAGAAAATTTATGAATTTAACAGCGAAGCTCTGATTCGGGAATTAGAACTCTTGATATCTGCCAACCGTACTCATGTAAGCTCGTGTAGTAGAGCAGTCTGCAATAACATTTTGTCTCCTTTTTTGACGGAAAAAAAAGAGGTTTTTGGTAAAGTTTTTATCTTTTTGAATACATTTGAGTCTCGTCTTATTTCGTTGATATAGTCTTAGTTATCATTTATTGACCTTATTGTCGTCTCGTCTTAGTCATGGGAAAAAAGCGCGTCAACGAACATTTTTCGTCATAGTCTTCGTTAACGAAATTAACACTAGTGTACATGACTTTCTTCTTTCAGATGAATACAATCGAGTTACATTTAAAAAATGTCCTGGCTCTTCCAAGCTTTATAATGGCAGTGAATGGCTGTCGAGATTTTGAGGTCCAATAAAGTGCATCCATCCGTCATAAAAAGTGCTCCACACGGCTCTGAGGGATTCATAAAGGCCTTCTGAAGTGAATCAATGTGTTTGTGTAAGAACAATATCCATATTTAAAACTTTATAAACTGTAATCTCTAGCTTCCGCTAACTGTTGGACACACATTCACGAGAGAGTGGCGTTTCAGTGGATGATGTAGGACGTAGCGTAGGGTCCGGTGAGAAGTGACGATTCAAAATCTCGACACCCATTTACTGCCATTATAAAAGCTTGGAAGAGCCAGGGCATTTTTTTTAATATAACTCGATTGTATTTGTCTGAAAGAAGAAAGTTATAAACACCTAGGATGGCTTGAGGGTGAGTAAATCATGGGGTAATTTTCATTTTTGGGTGAACTATCCCTTTAACTAATTTCAGGGTTTCCACACATTTTGACCAATGAATTTCCATGATTTTCCCAAGACATTTTAAGATTTTATTCATTTTAAGTCTATTAATTGTATTAATCTTAAGTGTATTGATTTTTTTTCCCAGAACTGGAAATCACAATTCCCTGATATTTCACGACTATGGGAACCCTGTAATTTGAAAAGAATAAGGAAGAAAAATGGCTACTTACCGGCCCCATTATTGTTGCCTGCCAGTGAAACACTGAAAAACATGATTCATTATATAAAATCAATAGGCAGTATTGAAGCAGAGCAAGACCTGATCCAATGTATGCTGAGAATGGTAGTTAGTGTTGGACGATCTAAGTGGGATCTCTATTAGAGTGAATATCTTTATATTGAAACAGTAATCTGACAAAACAGTAACTCAATAGTAACTCATGTACTCACAGTCCTCTCCGACCGGACCTGCTGAACACTGGGCAGGCGGATCTCTCTGTAGGTCTGTCAGTTCCTGAGGGAATCCAAATGGCCATGTCATGTAAAACAGCATTTCAGGAGCAGGAAATCTTGATTATTTGATTATGAGTGTACTTTAGAGAAAACTGACAAAAGACACAAAGGATTCTTGGTCTGATCAAAATATGTTATCAGCACCAGGATACTCAAAATGCTTTCTAAAAACAGAATTTGGCTCATGTTAGTGTAATGTGGTTGCCAACACATACTCCTAATGCTTTGGCTCTGAGGTTTGTTTCCATATTGAGATAGAGATTCGTTTCCGGAGCACTGCCAGCACAACCAACGCTGTGGCAGTCATCTCATAGTACCTTACAAACAGATCTGAGAATGAAATATGGCTTTATAAACAAAGGGTGTGACTGAAATCAGAAATAGCATGTCCTTTTTTAAAAAGATAAGCTCTTACATTTTTCAAAATGTGATAGAGGTAAAAGTGTATCCATATGAATCTCACTAACACCAAAAGAAAAAGTATATATATATTATGCATAAAGACAAAAATATTGTGCTAGTAATTTAAATCAGCAATTCAAAGTAGTTCAACTAACAAGTTGTATATTATTATGTTTTTGAAATAAGTCTCAATGCTCACCAAGACTGCATTTATTGATCAAAACATTTTTTGATTTTTATGTAATTTATTCCTGTGATGCAAAACTGAATTTCCAGCATCATTACTGCAGTCTTCAGTGTCACGATCCGTCAGAAACCAGTATAATATGCTGATTTGATGCTTAAGAATTATATTGACCTATTTTTTTCTTCTTATTAATATGTAATAATAATACATTTACATTTAATATTTTGGTGCAAACTGTTACTATTTTAAAAAGAATTCTTTGGTGAACAGAATGGTTAAAACTAGTACTTATTTAAAATAAAAATCATTATAAACGATTATAAATTATAACAAATGTCTTCACTGTCATTTTTGATCAATTTATTGCATCCTTGCTGAATGAACTGATGCATTGAAATTATTAATTTATTCAAACATATCAAAGGTTGGTCTGCACTCATTAAATCTTTATATTACAATTGAAACAGCAGATAAAATAGACAAACGTCTCGGCTATCTGCCTTAGTGTGACAATTCTTTGTTTCTCAATGATTATATAACAGACGACATACAACAGGTGATTATAATTAATCAATCAATCCACAGACTCCACTTAAACATCAAGAATTTAAAATTAAATAATGGGAACAATAATACATCGGGTAAAAAAAATGCTGTTCATAAACACTGTGCCCAAAAAAAAAAGCATTCATTTATTAAATCAAAAGACTTACTTAACTCAGACTTTTGAACGGTATTGGATATGCATTATATTTAAAACTGTATTCATTAATTAATTTGGGGGCAAAATAGGAGCTAAATATGTTCTTGATATGTTTCATGAGATTCACGTGTATTTTTATTAATGCTCAGTGCTGGCATTTGACCCAGTTTCTATCTTAAAGCGTTCTTTCAACAATAATATAACTGTTGCTACAATGTTAATCTGAATTAAGGAAACTTAATCTCCATTTCTTCTTTTTTTACACAAACGCTGGACAATATTTACAGAGTACTGTTTGTCTGTCTCGGACCAACTTCTCTACTGAGGTTTGCTAGTTTCGAGCACTGCTTGTATTCTGACAGTGTGGCTCAGTATTTGGCATCAGGTGTATTTCTGTAACTGTTCTGAATCATTCATCTGAAATATCTCATATGTCATCCTCACGGCCATGTCACCCCTGTAATTCACCTCTTGAGCGGCTGTTTGTATTGCTAGAAGTTACTGTCTGACTCAGCACCTGAAACGCCTCTCTAAAGATAGACGCAGAGCGGTCAGCTGTTCATCGACAGCACTTTCAATAACTTCAACTCTCAGCACACTTAAAAAAAAAAAAAAACATAAATGGCTTTAATGGAGCAGTACCTATACGTAACACTGTACACAACAACAGAGCAATATTACATGTCCTTAAATGACATCAGTGCAATAAGGAACCAACCCTCAAACTATCTGACCAAATAAAACTATATGCTGAATTGTAGGGACAATTATTAAAAAAAAAAAAAAATTATATATATATCACCTGCAATACAGTGTACTGTCTTTTCCCCCCCAAAAAAGACTATAGTTTTGATAAAATCAATGTGTACTGCATGTAAAAGTAAAAAAATATATATATTGTCTCAAAAATATAATTATCCTTTTCTTCAGGGGTGGAGTCCAATGCATCAATCAACATGCAGCCTGTATTCCCACCTGCTATTACATAACACTTACATGCTTAAATACACATAAACAGGTTTGAATTTGATTTCGTAAACATGATCAATGCACAATACTGATCCTTATAAAATGACCTCTGGCAGGATCATCACGACAACACACCGCATACTGGGTTACATCTGTGCTGTTTTTAAAGGGGGCGGAGCTTTTACAGTCTATTGCTGACACTCTTTCTTGACCCCTTTGTTGATGTAACAAGGCATTCGGGACAAGTTAAATATCTGATTTCTATCATTAGTCATGGGTCTGCATGCGTTTTAATACAATATCTAAAAATGTGCATCCAATATTTTATGAATGGATCTTATGCATTGTTTGACGGGGCTTCTCAACCCTTAAAGGGATAGTTCCCTCAGAAATGAAAATGATGTTCTTCATTCACCCTCATGTCATTACAAACCTGTGCATTGTTATTTTATTTCAAAAGGCTGAATTTTTGAAGAACTTTTTTCCATACAAGCACCATTTATATAGTGACCAAAATCACGGCATGAAGTATCCTATTAGAAGCAATGTGATAAGATTCCAGGTATAAGTTCATTTGTCTGTCCGCGTCAGATGTGAAAAAAAATCAATTTACAGCCAATCAGAAGAGTGTGTGGGCATTGCTAAACAGTATATAATCAATTTGATAAAAATGAGTGATTTTAACATGATCCAAAACACGTACTCAGTGACTGATACAAACATTGCTATGGAATATACGTTTGTTCCCATTCTTGTTATTTTCAAGATCTCAGATAAATGATTGATTGTCATGTTTATTAAGGCTATTTAGTCGCACAAAATGCTACTCAAATTAAGTAATTTTAATACTGTACTAAACGCAAGTACTTGAGATCATCATTCAGCTGTATATTCAGGTTCTTCTGAAGTTATACGACAGT